GGGCCGGCACGATATATATGCGCCAGAAGGCATAATTTAAAAGGACACGACAGTAATGGAGAACTCTGAAATGTCACCAACCAAATTAGAAACAAACAGTCATCGGGAATCCCTTCCAGTTATATGTTCTAGATTTCTTTTGGAGTCCCAAAACAGGGCTACACACTAAGAAAATGCTTCCTATGCGAATAATCTCGCAAAATCTACTGTACAGAACGCCTACTGTCCTTCACATATGCACATGAATTTGAATGCCCCCCGAAGTTTCTGGATGTAAAGTCATTTTTTCCAAAGGTGAAACACGCGCACATTATGAACTTCTGATATTTTACAATCAATTACGAAAAGAACTAATAAGAACATATAAATGAGAATAAATAAGATCACAGTGCAGAGAAAATCAGAGTGAAAGCCTCACGAACTACTACCTATGATGACTGGAAATGACGACATCACCTTAGCAAAGGATTAGTATTCGCAAGTATAACGTTCGCAACAGTCACCCAATAAATGATACGCGCAAGAGCGCGTAGCACATCTGAACAATCCTTGAACTACACCAGACATACTGACAGAGACGGCGAAAGAAATATGAATTTCCGGGACGAAGCCAATGATTAAGAGGAAAATGGCTTATCCAACAACGGAACGAAAAACAACAGAACTGAGGTAGCTGGTAAAAAAAAACCTTAGCAGCATCAAAGCCAGAATTTTGACCTTCCCATCCTGTAATACGCAAGGTACAAGAACATAGTGGGGAGCTGAATAAGTCAGATTAGACACCTTGAGACTGGACTTAGACCTTCAATGTACTAGACTGGAAATCCTGCAGCCCCAGGAAGTAAAAAACTCCTCATATTTGGGCTTCAAAATGCAGGCACCTATAAAAAAGTCGAAATCGCTCAACGCTGCCAAAAGCCGAGGTCAAGCAAAGAAAAGATGCTAAAGATGCAATTAGTTCTCGTCAGCAGGAAGGGCGTCACCAAAGACGGTATATGCTACGTCCTTTTTTGTAAAAAAACATAAAAGCCGGAGAGAAAGAGAGAGAGAGAGAGAGAAAAAAAAAGAATGATATAATACAAAGAGAAAATACAATACGTAAAAGTACAAAATTTACTAAACGTCACAACCTTTGAAAGCAATACTCTCAGCATCAACAGCACTCAAAGTGTCTAATTAAAATGGAGCATTTTCATGACTCATGCAAAAACGTATAAAAACCAGTTCTGAGAGAGTCGGCAAAAGCAGTTTCGGGCAAAGCAAACGCAGAAAGACTATGCGCCGCATCGAAAGTGCTACGATGAAACAACAGCTGATCAAATTTCAGTGTATATGATCATGTTGGAAGCTTAGGACCATTTGTAATATAATTTCAGTTTTTTGAAAACTAGCTGATGCTGCGAAACTGATTAACGAAACGAAATGTTTATGAGAAATATCCTTCACCGCTGCTCTCTTCTTTGGCGCCAAAATGTTTTAAGTCGTCGAACAAACTTTGTTTTATTTTTGAAATTTCACTTGCTTCTTCCTGAAAAAAAAAAGCATAACGCCAAAATCAGTAGCCAGGCAAACATTCTAATTAGCCCTTTAAATACACGATATCTCGGAATGACGATGCAGGGATCTAAATATTTGATAAGAAATGCACTACACTAACACTGACTTGCCCGCCTGAAGCAGAGTTCCCGGTCGAACCATTACCAGGGCCATTTCCTTGATTACCACCAGTTACAGCGTTTGCAGGAGCACCAGACTGCGAGTGCACTGATCCTGGACCACCAACACCGGCTCCAGCCACAGATCCCGGACCTCCCACTGCTGCTTGACTTCCTGCATTGCAAAAACCAATTCAAATTGCGAATCGAAAATTACAGAACAATGATCTAAGCTGAAAAAGAACGAATCCTATACGAAATCATCCCACCACCCAAGATGTTTTAGACGGAGGCAGAGGGTAAACAGTGATACGAAATGATTTGCATTATGCGCGCCAACAACTATTTTTTGCGAATAGTTCATGAGATGGCGGGGAATCAGAAAAAAACCCACAACCGTAACTACATTACGATTGGCGCGACTTTTTTTTTCAACACAAAAAATGCATTTTCTTCAGAACTCTAAACTCTAATTATAACTGAAATAGAATACAGAAAATTCCATAAACACTACACCCTCGTCCTTGCGTTTCCTCACAAAAATACGCTTTCCTGACCAACCAACATGGCTCTGTCACAGCCAAGCGAGTTTTGCATATACGAATTTGCATATACAAAATAAAGAAGTAAGCCTGGCAAAACTACACCACATGAAGGCCAGAGGGAGCCCCTAACCTATGGAACCAGCTCGAAAATAAACTGCCCCATTATCAGTCAGTTAGAGTCAGCTTCTGTTCGTTGTGGCGTTTTGCCCGTTCCCATATCGTTGCTGTATGAAAACGCTACAGATAAAGAGGGGATTTTCTGGTAATAAAAGATTACACCATTTTTAGGAGGCCCTACTCAACGAAATGCTGAAGAAATTCCAAATCATGTTCACGCGGCGAAGCCTATGTAGGTGAGTCGCCGCAAAATGGCAATTACCTCAACCTGGGCTCAACTCGGCCGCCAATGCCAAACGTTCTAGCCCCTCCGCTAACGCTATTCACGACATCGTTTGCCTGCACCGCCTGGCATCTTGCCGATGGGCACTGGATAGCGCCACCCAGCGCTCGACGGACAGATCTCATGGTTGGAGGGTGCTGGTGGGTAGGTGCCCAGGTACAGCCTCGACGGTCACGGATTAGGAGCTGGATAGAAGGGGGGAACAAGGATGCAAGTTGGCAGTTAGGGAAGATAAATGGTGACTGTGGTTGGTGATAGGTGCTCAGATGTCGCAAAAGAAACAGGACAGAGGGGACCAGGAATATCAATTACGAGTTAAAGACAAGAACTGGAAGCAGCAGTAAAGAGAAAGAGACAACATGGTTTTTATGTATTAGTTTCTGCTACTCGTGTTGTGATGGGTGCCCCGCCAAACTGGGAACGGTACGACGTAGATGATGCCGCGCTTGAAGCTCTTATACAATGAAAATTTGTATAATGCTTGACATCGCTGCTTACTGTTCAGTTTCGAATTTTCCTGATTCTTATGCGTTTTTGCTGCACAGCTGCTACAGCCAGCAAAAACGCATATTGTTGGGAGGCTGTCTATGTCTGCGTGCAGTATAGTGTGTGTGTTCGGAAAGCGAGTGCATTTTGTCACCCACTTTCATCTCAGCAACCAGGAAAGCTGGAAGGCCGAAACTTTGGATATATGTTCCTACCCCGTGTGTCACCCTCCCGTTTCACTTACCCTTAAATTAAGGTTTTTCCCCATACGCGCCTAGACCCCACATATGGGACCCCCAAAGAAATATGTTGGTGAGGAACGATTTTGCGAACCAGGCAACGTAGAAAGCTGAAACTTTGCAGGGATATTTTCTTTGCACGTGCGAGCTAAAAATTTTAAACTTAGCTCTCTAGCCCCCCAACCACAGCCTCAAGCAGCTCCTCAACCCAAAAATCGTTAGCAACTCGGACCTGTATCGCAATCGCATATGCAAATCAACACGAATTTTTTGGAAAACGACCGTTCGAGCAATACTTCTACTTTTTAGTAAACTGGAAATTTGCATTTTTTCAAAAAATTTGCATTTGTCATTTTTTCATTTGTCAAAAAAAAAAAGCATTTACCGAAAGAACGACCGGACTTCATTCAAAAAACCGGTAATCATGCACCTGGATGTCCGTGTGACTCTATAATGCACCACCTTCATCCCAACTGACGCCCTTTCTCCTGCATGCCGGAAGGGGCTAAAGCACGGGCAATATGAGCCCAAGTGTTAGGCTACAGCGTAGGGATCATTCTTGCTAACAGCGATCTGCGAGTTT